TGCGTTGATTTGAAATAATGATATATCTCAAAATTTGAGAATTATTTTTGGTAATGACTCAATAAGATCTTTCATAACTAAAGATGTAGCTAGTAAAATGGAACTTCCGATTGTTAGAAAAGAATCACTTTCTGTTTATTCATTGAGATAAAACTGCATTAGATAAAACCTTTAATGTTGTTAAAGCAAGACTAGAAAATGTTAGCGATCTTAATATATATATTGAGCTTCTTGAAACCGAAAATATATCCAATACTGCTATATCCCCTCCAGATTTGAACTTTGCTAAGGAAAATAAAGTTTTGCAAAATTTACGATTAGCAGACTGTTGTACACAAAGTGACAAAATTGATATTCTTGTAGGGGTACATTTCTTCTATTCTATAATTACTGGTAAAATCAAAAGAATTTCAAAAAATGTAGTAGCCACAGAATCTTTATTTGGGTGGTGTTTGCAGGGTAAAGTAAATAATGATCATACTGAATTAGTAACTATGAAAGTAATAGTAAATGAAAACTTCATATCAGATCAATTACAACAGTTTTGGAAGCTAGAAAACGTTAAGTTTAGAAAGTGATACTCAAAACGACAAAACTGTTGATTCAGAAATTATGAAATCTTTCGAATCTGATATCAAGTATAAGAACGGCAGATACCCAAGTAAAATTACCTTGGAAACTGAATTCACAACATTTAATGGAAGATAATAGGGATATGGCAGTTGAAAGATTTAAGAAATTAAGTAACAAATTTAAAACTGACAACCCTTTCTTTGTTCAATACTCAGAGGTTTTAAAGGAATACGAGTTAAAACATATTATTGAACCAGTTCAGGAAGACAATCGAAATGATAAGACCCTATTTTATTTACCTCATAGAGCAGTCATCAGAAATGATAGAGCAACAAGCAGACTAAGAATAGTTTTTGATGCTTCAGCCCATAAACCAAAAACGCTTTCTCTAAAACGACTGTTTATATACTGGTCCGAACCTATATCCTGATATTTTTGATTTATTGATAAAATTTAGACAAAATTTGATAGCCATTACAGCGGACATTACACAAGCATTTTTACAGATAGAGTTAGATGAAGAAGACAGGGACGTTACATGATTCTTTTGGAATGATGATCCTGATGATAGCAATGAAAATTTGAAAACCTTTAGATTTACAAGAGTTTTTGTTTGGAGTAAAATCTTAGTCCCTTTCTGCTAGCTGCTACTACTAAGCATCACCTTAGAAAATATTCAGAAATATATCATGAAACAGAAGAACTCTTAGACAACTGCCTGTATGTTGATGACATTATTGGTGGTTAACAAAATTTAAAACAAGCCCTGAAAACAAGTTTAGAAATTGTGAACATTTTTAATGAAGCTAGCATGTCACTACATAAGTGGCATACTAATTCCAAAGAACTCAAAGACATTTGACATCACAAAAAAATTTTGATACAAGAATCTCTTGAAGTTGTCCTGAACAAAGTGTTAGGGATTAAATAGGATAGGGGTAATGATTTTTTTTTTTTTTTTGACACTTAGCGCTTGACAAATTTAATTTCCTCGCCAATTAACTCAAAACGTTTTCTATTACAAACCACAGGTCGTATTTTTTGGCCCTTTCACTGTAAGAATAAAGAGTCCGCTTCAGGAAATCTGGTCTGCCAAAATTGATTGGGATGATGAACTGCCACCAGATCTTAGTTATAAATGGAAAGCCTGGACGAAGAAATTGAAGAACTGAACCACCTCAGGATTCCCCGCTACTATTTAGAGGGAATATCAGATGTAGATGTGAAACAAAGAGAACTCCATAGCTTTTCTGATGCTAGTTTGAAAGCTTATGGATGCGTGGCCATATCTAAGAATAGTTTTGAACAATGGACCTTTTCAAAAAATTTTTGTTGCTTCCAAGAGTAGAGTTGCACCTCTGAAATCACTTACACTTCCTAGATTGGAGCTCTTGAGCATGCTTTTATCTGCTAGATTGAGTGATAAAATTGCAAGATGTTTAAAATATGAAGTAATTCCCTTCCATTGGGCTGATTCTCAAATAACTTATTTTTGTATTCATGAATCTCCCAAAAGATTCAAACCTTTCATCAAAAACAGAATTTATGAAATTCAGAAACTAACTGAGAGTAATAATTGGCATTATTGCCGTGGGAAAGATAACCTTTCCGACCTCATATCACGAGGGACTACCATTGCTAATTTAAGAAACTGCCAACTTTGGTGTCATGGACCACCCTGGCTTTTACAGCCTTCAGAATTTTGGCCCTTTGGTAATCTAGATGTTGTTGAAGAAGAAAATGTAGAATATAGAAAGAAGTTTGCTTGTGCCCAATAATATAAATGTATTGTGCAAGAGAAGGATGAATTATTTGATATTTTCAAGTATAGTAATCTTATGAAAATATTAAGAATAACAGCCTGGATTAAATGCTTCACTTTGAAAACTAGGAAGCTTGCAAACTTGACAGATGTTCCTACAGCTAAAGAGCTTAAAGACACAGAAGAATTCTAGATCCGTAGAATTCCAAGAGTAGCATGTAATTTGGAAATTTTGGCACTAGAAAATGATAAAAGTATATCTAAGAAGTCATCCATATATTCCTTTTCCCTGTTTTTAGATGATAAAGGAATCTTACGGCTTGGAGGAAGATTACAATTCTCCGATTTCAGCACCAAAGAAAAACATCCTATCCTCTTGCCTCGAAATTCAAAATTTATGGAACTGATTATTGAAAGAGAACACAACAAGTTAATGCATAGTGGAGTTACAGCCACTTTGACCAGCCTTCAAAAAGAATACTGGATACCGAAAAGCCGACACCTTGTGAAGAAGATACTTAGAAACTGTCTTATTTGTACAAAGCATACAGCAAAACCTGTTCAACAGATGACCGCACAGCTGCCAAAAGACAGAATATTTCAGACTGCACCATTTCTTGTTTCAAGAATGGACTTCACAGGTCCAATTTGGGTTAAATCAGCAACCGGAACTGAGAAATCGTACGTAGTTCTTTTCACCTGTGCCATTACTAAAACCCTTCATTTAGAACTAGTCTCCAGAATGTCAAAAAATTTTTTGATGCTTTCAGATGATTTGTATCAAGATGAGGACACTGTGACACAATTTACTTGGATAATGCCAAAACCTTTCAAAAGGTAAACCGACAATTCGAGCATTTTTCAAAAATACTGAAAGGATTCCAAATTTCAAGATTTTATTGCCTGTAAGAACATAAGCCGGAAATTTATTGCAAAACATGCTGCATGGTGGGGAGGTTTTAATGAACGTTTAGTGAAGTCTGTGAAGGACTGTTCAAGAAAAATACTTGGAAAAGCCCTATTAAATTTTAAAGAGTTGACTACTATTTTGACAGAAGTTGAATATGTCATAAATCAAAGACCTTTAACTTACACTTACAATGACTTGGAAGAACCAGAGCCTGTCACACCAGCAAACTTTCTCAACTTTGGTTGAAAAAATCATAATTATCCACTTTATTTTATCAAGATGATTGACAAGAATTTGAATAGAAGTTATCTGTTGAAAAGACAAGTGTACCAAACTACACTTTTAGAGCATCTCTGGACAAGATGGAAGGAACAATATTTACTTGACTTGTGAACGGCTCACCATTCGTATACTCCTAAGTACAGACTTAAAAGCTGAAGATGTCGTTCTTTTGGAAGGGTCTACAAAGTCCAAACTCTTATGGGAACTTGGTGTGGTAGTGGAGTTATACAGAGGATGAGATTAACATGTTCGTTCTTGATTAATTAAGATGCCCAAAGGACAAATTAAGAGATCCATACAACTTTTATATTTTTTGAAGTTGTGAACCTGAGAACTATTGATTGAACTATTGACTTTTTTCAACATTTGATGAAAACTTTTTGAACTTATTGATTATTCAGTAATTTCTTATGTTTAATTGATTAATTTGATTTATTTCATATTTTAAATGTTCAAGAAGATTTTTTTTTATTGTTACAGTAAGTGAGTGTAAGTATTTTCATTTTATTTGGATTTAATTGCTATTCTGCTTAATTGAGTGAACCCTATGAGTTCAGGTGGGGAGCGTAAAGAAATATGATTTCATACAGCAATAACAGCGGCCTCACCTAACAACTCACCTTTTCTGAGGTAAAAGTTAGTTAGATGTTAGATGCTAGACGGAAATGGCGCATTAATCATATGTCGATTAATTAACTAATTAACTCTACATATTGTAAATAAATATTTAACTTAACCTTGTCGAATATAGATCAATTATAGATATAGATATGATGTTCTTCATATAGAAAGATTTTAGATATGGTCAAGTTTCACCTTAGAAATAAAACCCCCTTTCGTGACAATGAGAAATATTATGGAGAAAGCCACTAGTGCTATGAGAATGGAACATACAAAATTTTAAGTTTTACTAATTCAATGAATTTCATTTATTGCAGGGAAAAATTTTCTTAGTAAAGATTAAAAATCAAAAACCTTGAGATTCAGTAATCTAGCGGGATATATGTTGAAAACCTAGAACAGCTGGCAGCTAAGTCATTTCCTTATCAATGGACAATTATGAAAACAAATAGTAAAACAAGTAATTATACTAATCTAGATAATAAATAATGTTTAAATACAGATTTATACCAACAAATCCAAAAAGGACATCCCACTCAAAGGCTTAAACCATTAGTATGAATACTTTTCTATATGTAATACATTATTCATAGCAAAGTAAATATAACACAGTTTACTTCGAACTGATAACAATTACAAGAAAACAGTGCACGGGTTCACTTCAAATAATATAAAAATACAGGCAAAACGAAAATAATAAATCCATAAGTTATGGATTCACAATTTTCTTTCATCAAAATTTATGTTTTACTAAACATTCCCTTCATGGTTTAAAGGGTACCAAAGAGAAGAAGCCAAGGAGCAATGAATCTTAACAACTAAAAATCAAAACAAAAGATGAAAAATATTTACCTGCAAGGTGAGAAAATAAACACTTTCAAATTCCTTGTAAGCTTCCCAAATCAAATAACCTTGAGTGACATGAATACCAACAGCAGTAACAGCTTTCTCAAATGTCTGACGAATAATTTCAAGGCCACCTGACTTCCAAGTTTCGCCAATCTTGCCAATGGTAAACTGAACATATTCCAACCATACAGCAACAGCTAAAATACAAAATGTTACATTACTTAATGAAAAGCTATTAAAAGCTTAAGCACAGAGTTAAAGGACCTTAGTTTTATTCAAATGTTGCAGTAATACTTCATAAAACAAGTGAATAAAATGCCAAACATATATATATATGAGGAGCACTGACAGATTCATGAGTTTATTCTGTGGAGGTAGTTAAATTAGTAATTCAACATTGATATATAGCTTTGTTTTTAGAAAAAAAAATTTTGATCTGTCACACAAAAATATATGCACACAGAAGGAAACGATCATTGATTATATCATTGGTGTTGAAATTTAAATCATTTGCATATATCTTACCAGACTACATTCCTGCAAGTTTTGTGATATTTGGTTGGATTTTCTTTAACATCGTGCAAAATCTAGCGTATGCTCTGATTTCAGATTCTAGTTCTATATTTCTTAAGACGCCATTGAAATACTAGTTTAAATTTTAAATCCTTTTTTGATATCCTATGGATTTAACAATTTGAGAATTGCCCATGACGAAAAGTCTGCAATAGAATTTTTGGTAAAGTGCAGGATCACTTACTGCTTGACAAATTTTTAAGAATTGCACATATTCGATACCCCATGTACTTATCGACCTATACTCACTTAAAAAAAAATAGAACTGCACAAAAATGGCACTGCACACACCCTTGACTTTATCTATGTACACATCGACCTATTTTCACTTAAAAAAGTAAAAGAAAATTGACAAAAATCCAATTATTTTTATCCTTGTAAAAAGCGGCAAACAAATAAGTGGGCGATTCTGCACGTTACCGAGAATTGTTTTAAAGAAAAGGCATCATTCATTACAGAAAATTATGTTTGAACAACCAACAAGATGAAATTATGCTTTAGCGATAACTTGGTAGCGAAATATCGATGCAGGCATCCATTCAGTTATGTTTAGTAATTTTTATATAAATTATAATAATGATCTGAAATAGTTATTTACTCTTATGCTTCCATTCAGTCATGTTTAGCCTTTTTTTTTATATAAATTATAATAATAAAAAAGCATTATATGAAATTAACCTTTCATCTAAATTAAAACATCAATCTTAGATAGTTATTTACTATTATACTTCCTTTCTTGCATTAGGGTTGCCGCAATTTTTTTTGGCAGCACTGGCATCAACAATAGTTGGGCAATTTTTTACAGCCCTCAAAACCGAATAGTACCCTTTTTTGTGACAGAATGTATTTACAGATGTGTCTTTGGAAGGTAGCTGCCAAAAGAAGGTTCATTATAGTTTTCAAATGAATATAAAAAAAAATTATTAATACAATAAAACATGCCAATGAAAATATCTAATGGGCCCAATCATGCGTATAAGCTCAGTAAACCCCCAAGTTATGTAAATAATACATGTCATAAACCTTTACATTGACATTTCGAATTTTATGTAAGTTTGTTTAAGTGTAACTGTGTTTAAAGACCTGTAATTTTTATTATCATTATTTACACACTGCTTAATATTTATATATTATTTATGGACTATTACTTTATAAATGAAATATGCAGCACTATTTACTCAGATATAAACTATAAAAGTGTGAAAAATTTATAAAATAAAAAAAAAGTAAACTAAAAAAAAAAAGGCTTGATAGCTAATTTAGTTTTATAGTGAGAGAGTCAGGGCTAAAGGTGTACGGCTGCAAAGAGAAAAGGTGTTCTCTAGCAACTTTTAGGTGTTTCTATGTTCAAGACTGAAGACAGCTGTGGCCATATAAGTTTCTGGGAGCAGCATCTAAAAAACAAATGCTAGAACAGACTATGTAGTTACATGGCCTTGCAGCTGGATATGGCAGATAACATTCTGAAACCACTGAGTATTCAGATCCAACGATTCTACACTGGTTACCATAAATTAAGGAAAAATCACAAAAATCATGATTTCTGAAAAAGTTACATGTAGAATTTTATGAAACTTACCCACAATATACAACACATAGTAAGGTATCAAATAACATAAAATGAAATTACCAGACAAATATGGTAGTATAGCAATTAGAACATGTATAAAATGAACAAATCGAAGGTATCAGTTTGCTATAGGAAAAACGTACCTTCAATATGGAATATGATCGCCTCTAGAAGCAATACAGAACATACAGCGATGTGTGATGCTTTCAATTATGTGGTCTATCGGTTCCACAGGAAGCGAGAGCCATTGCTCTTGCAAAACAGTTGCAAGCACGACAAGGGTCTGAGGGGGCGGATTGAGAGCAGCTAGACGTCTCCCAAAAGCATCTCAAACGTGCTCGATAGGACTCAAGTCCGAGGATCGAGCTGGCACATAATTGTTTCTTGTTGAAGATAATCATCTACGATGCAAACCCTGTGTGGTCTTGCGTTGTCATCCTATAACAGGAAAGCATCACCTATTGCCCCAGCATATAGGCGCACATAAACATCAAGGATGTCATCTCTATAAATCTGGGCATTTACGGTTCCCCTTGGAAAGACATGGAGGTCTGTGCGTCTACCCAAAGAGATGCCACCTCAAACACAGACACTCCCCTTTCCGTATGCATCTCTTTCATGGATGTTTGACGGATGATGACGGATTCTAGGTTCTCTCCATATCAAATAACGCATACTATCGCTTTCTAGACTAAACCTGGACTCATCCATAAAGAGAATCGCCCTCCATTGATCAGGCGTCCAGTGGACATGTTGTAATGCCCACTGGAAACGGTCCCTCCTATGGCGTGACGTGAGCGGCACACAAATGGCTGGTCGCCTCGCATACAGACCACCTTTGTGAAGCCTTCTACGCACAGTTGACGTAGACACGAACCTTCCGGTGGCTGCAGCAAGGGAGGATCTAAGATAAGTCGGAGTAGCGGTTCTATTCCTGCGTGCACATAATGTCAAATATCGGTCATCGGCGCTCATCGTGGCAGTTGGCCGTCCTTGGCTGAACCTCCTAGATGCCGAATCTGTGGTTTAAAATTGCCTCCAAAGTTTTTGAACCACAGAAGGACTCACATTTAGCCAACTGGCCACTTCTGTTTGACTTTGTCCTGCCTCTAATCTCCCAATGGCTCTCCAATGCAGTTCTGCAGGCAAATGATGTCTGGAGGTCCTTGTTACGAATTGACTATCTCAGATTTCTGATGTCACTGTCACAGTGAAATATGTGGGCTTGCTCTCAAACATGGACTTTTATGCTCCCCGCAGATGACGTATTCCAAAAGCAGTGCCACTAATTTGCATATCGCAGTTTTACTCAACTACTCTTACTTGGCAACATATTCAAATTTTACACGGTTTGGCTTATTTTTGAGGGAGTTATCGCTATTTTTGTGATTTTTCTTTAATTTATGATAACCAGTGTAATTTTTCTAGTGCCATGTTTATGTGATTAAAATTCTCAACTAGCCCTTTTGTTGTAAATTTCATGTCTAGAGCTGGAGTTAAGGCAGCATAGCATTTTCAGAATGCCTTGAATTATCATCGTTGGTAAACTCTTGAACCTTTACTATCATTATAAAATGTATTGCACTTGATATAGCTTTAATTTCTATAATTCTATGAAGTTCATGAAATGTACATAAAATGTATTGCACTTGGTATAGCTTTATTTTCTATAAACCTATGCAGTTCAATTTTCATGAAGATTCAACAAAATTAAGAATTTTTAAGAATATGTCAGGTAATCACTGCACTTGCACTTGTCATTTAATTAACCTAGACTTAATAACTACATCTGTTAAAAGATACACATACTAGAAATTACTACACTTAAGCCATTCTTGTTATGTAAATTACACATGAAATTTTTACTTATATCACATTGATGTATTTTCCACAGCTTTTTAATTTCTTACTAATATAATGGCCCTGGTTAAAAATACTAACAAGATTTTCTTTTAAACCCTTCAAAACAAAAGATAATGTTAAATTCTTTTAAGTGATAACAGCATATCCCGGAAAAGTAACAAAATTTTCACCTGCATAATCTTTAACAGCTCTTTCAAAAAGTTCAGTCAAGTGATCTTTTTGTTCAGAAGTAACAGCTAAGGTTTTTTCATCATTTAACCAATCCAACCACAATTCTAAAAAATAAATAAATACATAAAATAAAATAACCATACAATGATGAAAATTTTAAGCAAGAAACAAAATTTGATTTAGCATTTTAATTTAAATAATCTAAAACTTTTACTTTGAAATAAAAATACTTCAGTTTGTATACTGGCAGTTTTCTCAGAAAAGCTCAAATATCTCAATTCAAATTAACATATTTCAGCATTCTCCTTCCAACATTTAGATAAAGAGGTAAATAATATAATTAGGAGACACTGTTGAGAAAGTACAACATAGTAGACAACTTACTAGCACATGTTAAATGCTAGGGATACATAAATATGACATATACAAAAAAAAAAATGTATTAAATAATTCAAGATCACAGACCATTTTAAAATTTACTCTGTAACAAAAAATAGAACTACTCTTATATGTGCCCTCAGGTTGCGAAATTTCTTGCCAAATCCACGCTGCCATATTACTATCTAAATTTTTGTCTACATTTTGAACTTTAAGCCTAAAATATCTCCCAAAATGCTGTCTTCACAAATGCAAAAACCAAGTTTTGAACAAAAACGCAAAATTTCTGCGCATGCGTAGCGTTTATGCATGCACATATGCATTTATGCATGCGCATAATATGTTTACACATGCATGTTTAATGTATAATGGACGGTATAAGCTAGACTAAAATTATCTATTTCAGTTAATGTTGCAGATACCATTGTTCCTTAATCTTCTAATTGGATCGGTTTATTATTTTTTGCAGACTGTTAGAGCAATTTTATAAAAAGTAAGCTTGAACTTTCGATTATGTCAAAAAGAGTTTCCGATTCTGGAGCAGCCAAAAGATCTACAAAGCGAAAGCATGTTTCGATGTCCATCAAACAAAAAGTGGAATTGCTGCAAAAAAATGGATAAAGGCATGAAGAAAGTGACAGAGAGGTTAGTGAAAATGAAAAAAATTTCGATTGACAAGTTAGTCGGCATTCTCGGCACAGCAATTACAGGACTTGAACAGCGGAATTTTGTAACTGAACAAGAAATTATGTCTGTTTATAGAATTAAAGAGAAAGTATTAGCACAAGAAACGAAGCAACTTAAACAACTTACATTGAAAGAAATGTTTAATAAAGTAAACAAATAAATATTAAGCTTTTTTTTTTTTTTTTGTAAATTTTGATACCCTTTAGATCATAATTGCTCTTTATTTCATAAACTACGGTTTCATATTTTTAATTGTATAATTTCTGCATGCCATCCTACCAGATTTAAATTGATGATCTATAATCCGGAAAAACCCCTAACCCAGAACTGCCGAAGTCCTGACAAGTCCAGATTACGGACTTTGTACTGAATTAGGGCGTGTATAAGAGTAGAGCCCAAAAAATCCTTACATCTACCAAAAGAAAATGACGAGAAATTTCAAAACAAAATATGCACACTCTTCCATGATTATGACAATAAATAATTAAGATTGTATGTCAATCAAAAATATCATTGAAGTAAAATATTAAATATACTCCAAATATGGTTGAATATCTAGATCTTTTATACAACTATCCAAAATAAAATATACAAAATATTAAAAGAAAAAATTACAGAATGCTAGAAAAGGACACACTGAATATTAGAATCATGGCTAATTAATGCAAAGTGAAAAGTTTTATGTTCTTCATATAACATAAGTCTAAATAAATGAAACATTTTCCCATTTATGTTAAACATGAATACTACAATTCTATGTAAATTTATAAACTACAAAATATAGAATCTTCATACTATAATTTATTCACTTATGCTTTAGTTATTTCTTTTTTTTCACTCAAAAAATAAAAAATTCACTCACTAATCTATCTGAAATTGGATGTTTAACTAAATTATGCTACTACATTGCCTTTCAAAAAAAGTTAAGTATGTGGCATTAAATTTCTCACAAAGAAAGATGTTATGAGATATTTCTATGCCTTGGTGAAAAACAGGAACTAATGTGCTTCAGCATTGATGAGAAATAGACAGTTACCAATACACATAGCAAATTCATTTGTTGTTTATATAACACAACTTATTTAATATATACACATATTCAGAAGATGCAATAAAAATTTGTTCATATTATTTTATTTATTGCAAATCTGTAAGCAATTTATTTAAAATACACAACATATAAAACAGATACTTTCTAGTGGCCACAGTTGAGTGATTGCTTCTACTAATTCATGAAACACATTATCATGGCTGATGTGATACCTTGAGATAAATTCTACTGGGTAGGTCTCTATGGATGTTAAAATGAACCGTATATGGTACACAATGAATGAACTGCTTATGTGCAATGAATGAGCTGCTTAATTTTATTAAATATTAATTACTGGAAGACATTAACATTATATTATGATTAACCAGAAACACACCAAAACAAAATTCTGGAACTATTTCCTTATAATATTAATAAAGGCGATTTCCTGACACAGGTCACGAACAAGTCACAAACACATATTTCTGAAGATATTTCGATGAGTAAACAAGGAAGTTGATGCACTTTTGTATTGTAGACTCCCAGTATTACTTCAAAGCTTTGAACAGCAACAGAATTCAGTTTGAAGTCATTAGCAAAGATTTCTAAAGCGAGGGGTTATCTGTCAGGCAGCAACTGTCCTTCGCTCTTCCAAGAAGAAAAATGATACAGTCGACTGGATTCTCATAACTGGAAAGTCTAATTATTGAGTGGAGAAATTTTTCTTTTTTCCTGGTCTCTGTTTTGGAAACTCTTAACTGGTTGTCCCCTGCATGAGTCCCAGTTCTCTGAGATCATTACTGGCTTTCTTAATTCACTTTCCCATTCACAATCCATGGTGAGAAACAATTCTTGAAACGTGACTTTTGAGTCTTGCATCCTCTCGCCTTGTCCCTCTTATCTCTAGTCAAAATAGATTCCTTACCCCAACTTTTCACTTTCTCCATCTGCTACTAGTTGAGTATTGCTGTTCATTCACCACAGCTTAAGGTCTCTTACTTTAGGGCAGGGAATTTCTCTTTACCATGAAAGACAAATCTAATCCTTCTTCTCAAAGGTTCTGTATTCATTAGATAGGAATTACATATTCAACATCTCCAAAAAAGGTAAACATTTAAATTGTTCTAATTTTCCCTCGCTTCTAGAACATTCTCTTCTATTTTTTTCTCTGTTTCCATAGAACCATGCAATCTGATTATTTAAACACCAAATTATATCATTTATTAGATTTATACAAATAGTCAGAAACAAGTTCTTTCAATTAAAAGGTTAAATAACTGTCGATTCATAAATTAAAATTACAATTAAACATCACTACAATAGAATAACAATAGATGTTAATTGTTTTATAACTGTGATGTCAAAAACTCTAGTGCAACTGAACAGATTTTCAAATGTTTCATCATTAATATAATGTACTAGTTCTCAGAGAACTAATACCTCATATGCCTGCTTACTAGTACCTGATCTATTCAAATGAAATGTTTCCATTCAGAAGAAATGCCAGAATGGTATATGGAAAAGAAAATGACAACTTCCTTAAGTGCCTCATATCTTCCAACAGCACAATGACATTGCAAATCTTTCAAATATATTCTTTGTTTATAACAAAGTTAATCCAATCCAAAATTTTCTTTTCCCTCAAGAGAAACCTTAGAGTTCAAAACCCCTGCACAAGATTTGCTTTTGCCCTATACTTAAATTAGATTTTTTTTTTAAATTACTTTCAAACATATCATTTGATATTTACTATTATTTACAACAAAATCTTATCCCATTAGTAATAACGATAAATTTAACAGAACAAAATTCCCATACGCACTTGCTACTTAAGAACTGCATGCTTAAATTTGAGAAGCTAACATCATACACTTTAATTCCGACAGACAATACCTTTTCCTCCATAAGAATTTCAATGGCTAATACATTAAAACATTCCCAAAACTAAATCATTCAACAATCAAATTACAAAAATTGGTAATCAAGATAGAGAGATTAAACATATGCAATATAGGATAAATAGCAAACCTGGTGTTAATGGAAATAATTCACTCATCTTTTCTCTGGCAGACCGAAGTTGGTCCAAATCTCCTAACTTCCTGCATAATGATATCAACTGAACATGCAGATCATAAGTGTAAGGACTAGCCTCTATCTGAAATATAAGACTAGAATTAAGATTTCTTTAGTTTTAACAACATTCATGATTAACGTGAATAACCAAATAATAAATTAATGAGGTACTAAGTAAAATATTAGGAAATAAATTAAGAGAAAGATTTACTCCGTACAGTTATAAAGGTAATTTTATAGGTACACTATGATTATCTACATCCCAACTGAATTTGTTCAGTCATGGATTTGTTAGTGAAGTCACGAATGGAAGTTATGAATTTGTTAGCGACTTTCCAGAAAAATGGGACCTTTCCTATAACAAGGGAAGAATTCAAAATTTCTGTGCTGAAGCGAAGACAATTTTCAAAATGGCAGAGCATTGACAATTCCAGAAAACAGCAATCAATTACTAAAATTTAAAAAGCAAGGAACTTTGGTAATAAAACACCTACCTTTTTTTGAGAAATTTTTCTGCAATTTTCTTTTACACTGCTGTTCTCCCCGTGTACATAACAACCTGTTTTTGTTAAGGAAACCATCAGAAAATTACACAAACTTGGCAGGGTAGTAGACTTTAAAGTACCCCTTGTATTATGACGAAGTTGTTGTTTGATTTATCGCCAACTTGTTGTTTCAATTATGGTAGCCTGAGTAGTTAAATGTTATGGAAACCCTATTGTGACGTAATCGGGTGCATGATTCTGGGAAATTTTGAATCATGGGATGTTTTGTAAGCGTTTTTGTGGTGTGTGTTAAAACCGTTTAAACGGATTTGAATGGGTTTGTAGGAAGAAAGGTTCAGATGGTCCCTATGTGAAGCGTTCGATCAAAAAGAATACCTGGTTTGAAAAAAGTCATTTGAGTATGATTGATATTTTGATTTTTACGTGGCTCTGGGTGTACGAAGCGAACTCGAAAATCATGGTAAGTGAATATTTGCTTTTGGTAGTGCTTAAATGTATAACATGTTTTTTCTTTTTTATGTTATTTTATTGTTTGGTTTTAAATGTATTTTATTGAGATTACGTATTTTTTGTTTGCCTTTATTGTAGACTTTGGTGCACAAAAATCACAAAATCACAATCAATTGAAATCACAAAAAATTTGGGGGTTTTCTATTTCAATGCAAATACCCACTTGGAATTTTTCGAATGCATTTTGACTACTTTGTGCTACTTTTTTTTCTGTGATGACTTTACATGCATATCTATAACTCAAAAATGATTAGCCACAGAATGTTGAAACTTTGTATATGAGACTGCTTTAATATCTAGTTGTGCACCTCTCATTTTTTTTACAATTGACAGCACCAAAAGTGAATTTTCGGATGAATTATTATAATTAAAATATATTGGAATGATTCATTGGCTAATTCTGGATACAGAAAAGCAAGGATTCTTTGTGGAAGAGAGATTTCAACGTTTCTCCTCCTGACAAAGTAGTATTGAAGTTGACTGAATTCCTCTTCTTTCTTTATTCTTTAAATTTCATTGATTTTTTTTTAATTAGGGTATTACTTGTTTAAAGTATTTTAGTTTTAATATCTATTAAATTCTTTTTTACATTTATAGGATTTTCTGAAATTTATTACTTATGAATTTCAATTTTTGATGCCATTGAAAAATTGGTTCTAAATTTCGGCTAATCTTTGGAATATGGTAACAGGTAGTTTGGCGACATTTTGTAAGGCGATAAAGGTTATTAGCTAGGACTTTAGCAGTGTACATGGATAAAGTCAAGAGTGTGCGCAATGCCATTTTTGTGCAATTCTGGTATGTTTCTTTTAAGTGAAAATAGGTCGACGTGTGCATGGATAACGCATATGTGCAGTTCTTCAAAACGCAGCAAGCAGTGGGCGATTCTGCACTTTCTCTCAATTTCGCACCTTATCTTCGTCATGATTAAGCATTTTTGTTCCATAAAAGTTCTAGTATAAGCGTAATTCGGCTAGCAGATTGTTGGAAAAAATGTTGAGTGAAAAAAAAAAAAAAAAACATGCCTTTACTTCGTGAAAACAAAATGGCGTCCAAAACAAAACTAGCAGGTTGCTGTAGCAGGGTTGGTCGCCAAAAAATTGCCAAGTTACCATAATCCAAAAATTAACCTAAATTTCTTATTTTATGTCTTAACTGATAACTTTTCAGCAGCTTAATGCACAAAAATACTAGGCTTGATTACATATATTTTTTTAATTGTTTTGTATATATATATGTATAATATAAGAAAATACGATGCTGCTTTAAAAAATGATTGGCGACCTCAAAATTAATATTCTAAATTTGGTGCTCTTCCCCTAAATTCATCTGTTCTCCCAAATTTGAGATCTTTCGACGTTACACAACACTGCTTGAAAAAGGTAACTAAAACTAATATTGACCAATCATAGCTTGTTTCTAGAATTGCATGTACTTTGGTATAAAAACCTCTGGCGAGCTAACTATGTCATTAATTCTGCATCGTACGTTTTTCTGCTATCTTCTACCTTGCTAACAGCTCCTCGCTTTGCCTCCTCATCTAAACTGCCTACGTCTTAATTTTAAGAATCTAATCATCTGTGTACATGGTACTTTATCATATTTCATTATGATTGAATAAACATCTGTACAGATGATTAGATATGGATGGAAATAAAGACTGGAAATTTGTCAAGTTCATGTTTTGTTGTCTTCATCTGTAAGCCTTCATTCTCAGCCACAAAGACTGCAAACTGATTCCTCTTCTATGCTTCCGGAATTATTATATATATAAACCGGGTGATCAAAAAGTCACTATAAATTTGAAAACTTAATAAATCACGGAATAATGTAGATAGAGAGGTAAAAATTGACACACATACTTAGAATAACATGGGGTTTTATTAGAAAAGCAATAATCTGATCAGAAAAGCAATAATTAGCATAATAAATTAAGACAAAGCAAAGATGATGTTCTTTACAGGAAATGCTCAATATGTTCACCATCAATTCCTCAACAATAGCTGTAGTCGAGGAATAATGTTGTGAACAGCACAGTAAAGCATGTCCGGAGTTATCGTGAGGCATTGGCGTAGGATGTTGTCTTTCAGCATCCCTAGAGATGTCGGTCGATCACGATGCACTTGCGACTTCAGGTAACCTCAAAGCCAATAATCGCACGGACTGAGGTCTGGGGACCTGGGAGGCCAAGCATGACGAAAGTGGCGGCTGAGAGCACGATCATCACCAAACGACGCACGCAAGAGATCTTTCACGTGTTTAGCAATATGGGGTGGAGCGCCATCCTGCATAAAAATCGTAACATTTTTTGAACTTTTTTTTTGGTTCTAATAAAACCCCATGTCATTCTAAGTATGTGTGTCAATTTTTACCTCTCTACCTACATTATTCCGTGATTTATTAAGTTTTCAAATGTATACTGACTTTTTGATCACCCGGTATATATATATATATGTGTGTGTGTGTGTGTGTATGCAAGATAGAAAATATGAAAGCAAACTTCTCAATTTAATTCACTATAACCTCTTTTATTTTTTATTTCATTTGAAAACTTCATCGGTCTGTCCTAAAAATAGCGCTTAAGTCTAAACTGCGTCATTCAAATTAATCATGCAATCTTACGTAACCCTTAATGGTTTGACCAATCATCAAATTGTAAACCAAAACTAAAAAATGACTCCCACCCTTCTTTCTATGAACTAATGCGCCACTTTTGCTTGTGTTTTAAATCTTGGCTAGACGTCTTTTTGCAATTATGAATCTCCCAAAATTTAATGGCTAATCAACCAATGCAACAAAGTACAAGAGCACATGGCTAGATTTTGTCAAGATATCTTGTTGATTAGTGATTCAATCTTGAGGGCCACTATAACAAAGAAGGGTAAAAGTATAGTTTAGGGTACCCCTTGGCAAAATTTGGCGGTACATGGATACCGATTTTATGCAATTCTTCGACTCGTTATTTTGGCTTGCGAAGCGTCAATTTTTGTGCCAAAAATCGATGCCAACCAAAGCCAAAATAACAAGATAAACAATTGCACAAACTCCGTATCCATGTACACATTGACTTATTTTCACTTAAAAAAAAATCCACGAATTGCACAAAAATGGCATTGCACACTCCTTCGACTTTATCCATGCACACGTCAACCTATTTTCACTTAAAAAAAATCCCCGAATTGCACAAAAATGGCATTGTGCACTCTCTTTACTTTGTCATTGTACACATCGATATATTTTCACTTAAAAAGTCAAACGAGCATCAAATTCTACAATATAGGCTAACAAAAACTACATAATCTCAATAAAATACATTTTAAACCACACAATAAAATAACATAAGGAAAAACATGTTATACATTTAAGCACTACCAAAAGCAAATATTCACTTACCATGATTTTTGAGTTCGCTTCGTACACTCAGAGCCACATAAAAATCAAAATATCAATCATAATCAAATGACTTTTTTCAAACCAGGTACTCTTTCTGATCGAACGCTTCACATAGTGACCATCTGAACCTTTCTTCCTAGAAACCCATTCAAATCCATCTAAATGGTTTTTATGTTTGATTAGAGGCATATCCTTCCTACATACAGGACACTTATAATGGCTACTAAGTAAACCTTCATTTACACACCAGTCAATTAAAGCTCTTTTCCCCTTTCTCTCCAAATCGTACAGAAACTTCAAATTAATCTTACTACATTCAGCCATTCTACAGTCTAAAGAATCAAACCAACACACACCACAAAAACGCTTACAAAACATCCCATGATTCAAAATTTCCCAGAATCATGCACCCGATTACGTCACAATAGGGTTTCCATAACATTCAACTACTTAGGCTATCATAAATGAAACAGCAACTTGGAGATAAATCAAACAACAATTTCACCATAATACAAGGGGTACCTTAAAGTCTACTCTACCCCCAATCCACTTAGCGGGCAGGAATAGAATTCCGTACTTTCTATATTATACTCATATCTAGAAACTCTCCAAACTTTAAATCACATAAACACAACATACAGTACAAAGAAATTACTGTTCTGTCATCAGGACAGGATTAAAAAATGGATGTATGAGTTCATGTACACATATATGTACATAGGAATGTATGTGTGTGTACATTTGCATACATACATATATTTCTGAATCCAGTCCCGATAACAGTACAATATGAAGAAATTTCACATTCAAAACAGATCACTATCCATATTTCTTACATAACATACAGCTAGTTCCTACATTTGCTATATTTCAAAACACTCTTAGGCACAATTCAAAATATAAACTAATTAATCTGTGCTAGAAACAGAATTGGCAGATCATTACTCTCAGTCTCAATAATTTTCCTTTTCCTCAAGTCAATAGCTAGAGTCCAAGTTTATGATTTATAATGCAAATTACTTTTCATATATAGATATTTCGAATATATGAACTCGGCAACATAGTGACTATTTTAATGGTGGTGAACCGTGTGCATAAACAAAATTGCTAAAAATTTACCCGTTTCTGAATTTCGTTAATTTTTTCTTCATCCGCATCTTCTTCATCTGATGATGCATCAGCAGAATTTGAAAAGGAATCTTCATCTCTCATTTCAACATCTTCGATATCAGCTTCATCTATATTAGACATTAGGAACTTTATAAAGTGAAATATTCAATTTTACAAAATAATATGCGTTTACCGACAGACAGACAAAGTAGATAGATGTCTTGTTTTGCACTCGCTGAGTCTTTCTGCCCGTAAGAGGAAAAGTTACAAAAAAGGGGGCTCATACTAAATTCTTTATAAAGATCGTGGGAGTAATTTTAAAAATTAATAAATAAACATTTTAAGGGTCTCTTTAAGTTGTGAGAGAAACATAAAAGTAGAAAATAGCTTACCAGTAATACAATCACAACTCAAGATCCTTTTTTATTAATTAAAAAAAAATGTTTTTCCTTCCTGTTTTTTAGAATTTTTAACTTCCATTTCAAATTTTATAAATAGTAAGCAGTCTTATAAACTATTATCATGTAATTAAAAATTAATTTTCAGATTAAAATTGAAAAAGGTATGACACAATATTTGAAAGAAAAAAATAAGTGTTAGGTTAGTCAGGATAATCTTAAACGAAAATCCAAATCTTTTAAAATCAGGATTAGTTGGTTATATAAAATTACCACGTTCTAGATCACGGCAATCTCTACCTGCTAATTTGCTGTCGTATCTGACACTTTCTGTGATTTTATTATATACTTTGGATAGTATTTCATTTATTTAAATTGGAATAAAAATTTAAAAAATAAACGTTTAATTTGTTTTTTATACATAAACTATAAATTTCTTCCAGTGTTTATTGTTTTTTACCCTTCTTTTGCAAATGATTTCACTCTTATTAACTGCTTATTCGTCTGGAAGTAATTTAAATTGTACTGAAATACGTATTAGATAAAAGGCATTAGAAGTGATTTTTTTCTTTAATTGGTTCACAGTGGTTTTTTTATTTTCATAATTCTATAAATTATTAATTACAAGGAGAATTAATTAAAATCTTCGCTAAAAGCTTGAAATTTTATTTGCATTTTCAGCTAAATATGTGGTGCCATCTATAGGCTGCTTTATGAACTAAATAAATAACACACTGGAAATTAAAATATATATTAGAATTGCAAAACAAAAATATTACAGTATCAGTATTAGATATGATCATACAAGAAAGTATCGTAGTAACTTCGAATATCTTTATAAACATCATTAAAAAGGAATTCTTTTGATCTCTATTCTATGATTTCTGTAATTTTTCTTGCAAAAATGCTTGAAGGTCAGATAATACAAATTTTGTAATCTGTTCTAAATTACTTGCACCATCTAAGTAAATCACATCTGCACAGTTCTCTCGCACGTCTTCCAAATTCAATAAATACATAGGCCAAACACATTGTTCAAAATAACCAGGAACATCTGGTGGAACATAGACGCGTGTACATCTTCGTTTAAAACATTCATCTTTGGATAACATTAAGAAGTATTTCTTGTGAAATAAATTTCTGATGATAGGATGATTAAATATTATATGACCTTCAACTATGAGAAGCGATTTTTCTCTTATAGGATTTTTCGAAGTTACCTCAGACAAATTTTCCATCATGGCTTCCCAGTCAACTGCTTCAAGACGTTCCCAATTTTTGTGGTTTAATTCAGGAATATGAATATGATATTCGCTATCTTCGCTTCGGAAAAAGTGATCTTGATTCACAATTACACATCCAGGATACTTTTCATTTAAAAAAGAGGCCAAAGTTGTTTTACCAGCATTAGTGCATCCAGAAATACCAACTAGAATCCATTTGGTATCCATGATAGATTTGATGATTGATGTCATGTTGAAATGCTTAAGAAAACTAATAAATAATCGAACTCTAACGATAAAAGGAATATTTAAGCCTTCATCAATCTAGCAATATATATAATTACGTAATATTATTAACTCATAAATTCGTACACGTGGTGTGTATCCGAAGTTAACCTTATACAGTAGTGCTTATTTATCATTTGAGATATATGTGATAAGCTTATTCTTTAAAATTTTCAAGACATGAATTACGATGCATTAAAATTATTTTGATCAACTAATGGATGTTAAAAACATCCAGAATATAACAGGAGATAACTAACCTAAACGAAAAATTGAAAAAAAAAAAAAAAAAATAGATGTATTGAAATATCTTCTTTTATTGTAAATTGTCCTCATTTCATCAGCCGAAATAGCTCAGTTGGGAGAGCGTTAGACTGAAGATCTAAAGGTCCCTGGTTCGATCCCGGGTTTCGGCATTCTAATTTTCTTTTCGCGAATCTCATTTTTATAAATTCCTATATATCATTCACTTTTCCTCCGTACCGTTAAATAGCGTAATTATAACGTTAAACCTAAATAACAATTAATTAATACCGAATAGCATCATCGCGTTAATTTGTTCTGCAGTGCACGCCAGAAATAAAGTCAATTGGCGTATTTCGACTCTTCAGTAACTTCTATAGTAATGAAAGCATTCACAATCGGCATTAAAGTGGGCAATAATAAAAACTATTTCTAATAATCACAGTTATTTTGTTTTATAACTCTCTTTTTGTCGAAAGACAGCAATAAGGATTAGAAACTGGCTCGTATACACGTTACACATGAGGAAAACCACGAAAACGCCCATGCAGCCAGCCCTTTCGCGGGATTCGAACCTCGGGCCGTGAACTACCAATGTTCAGCGTCTTTACAGCTCAGCCGCTGGTGGGCTGACAGCAAGAAGGGGCGGGAAAAAACTGCACCTTTTTCAAATCAATGAAAACTATATTTTCTTGCTTAGCTGAAATTCTTTAAATTTATAATAACTAAATTATACAAATTTTGCATAATAAATCATATAATTTTTATTAAATTATGCAATAAAATCATTACCTAAAATTTACCCAGTCTCCCCTTGTTGCTGTTGCTGTTGCTATAAATTCTCACATGACAAAAAGAGCCTTAATGCATTATAATAATTAAATTTGAATATAAAATTTTGGATTACAAAGTAGTACATGTCAGAAATAAATTTGTTTTAATTAATATTGGATAATTAAATCCCCATTCAAAAATTAAATAATATTAGGATATTTAAATTAAATAATATTAAATAATAAATTATATTTAAATTAAATAATATTATTTATGTAATGATATTTTCCAAGTTCTTCAGTAGTTAATGATTTACGTAAGTTATGAATGTACACTGTGGTAAAGTGTTGGCCTTAAAAAAAATGAAAATTCTACTTCCTTTGTTCTTTTCTTTAGTAGCAAACGCATTAGTAAAATATTAAAAACTGTTTCAAAAGTGTATGTTTTGCAATCTTGCATTAATTTTACAATGGACCCACCAGCGGCCGAGCAGTAATATCGCTGAACCCTGTTAGTTCTGGCCGGGGTTTGAAACCCAACGAACGGGCTGGCTGCATGGGCGTTTTTGTGGTTTTTTCCATTTGTAAAGTGGATACGAGCCAGTTTCTTCTTTCTTCTTCGAGTCTTAGAAAGTTCTCCACGACGGCACCCCTGCCCTTAAGCAGATAGCCATCAAGAGCTTTGCCGTAATCAGAATAAACTGTCATTTTACAATGGCCTGGCATTCTGAACATCCAGACGATTACGGTAAATTGAAGGCCATAAAATACTCAATGGTTTATTTCAACAACTTTTGCTTTTAACGAAGTTAAAAATTTTATAATTTTCCAAATTTGGACCTTATACAAAAATAGAAAGATTTAAAGAATACCATTTGCGAGACGTGTGAAGGAAATGTATTGGGCCCTGGCCTTGAGACTACTTGGGCGAGGTTAAGTTTTTAAATAGGGTAAAGCATGTAAGGGCGACCTGCCTAAGGGAAGAGATGTTTTCGAGGAAGCCTGATTGTACGAGTGCGTATTAAAAATAATGCATGCAGTTTTCATTCAATTTACATTTATATATATTTCCTTATGTTAAATTCTGTTATATGCTAAATTATTGTGCACTCCTTGAAAAATATAGTGAATGCACAGAAAATAAAGATTTGTAATGCGAAAAATGAAAAATATAAAATTATATGAGTATTTATTATATTATTTATAAATGTATTTGGTAATGAAGGATTTATTCGTTCATTAAACTCCTGGGAATGCTACTATGAAGAAATCTAGTTATTAAATATATCTAAATTTATAATGATTATAAATTATAATTACAATTCTGGTATAATAACATAAACAAATTTCGGTTTGATATAAAAACGTAAACAAATTACGGTATTAATCACCACCTATTTAAGACAACTTTTTCCCCAGAACACTAAAATAATCTCAAAACGAGCGTGATCATATTAAAAACGATTAATTGTATTTATTGCTATATATTCAGAAAGATTGAAAAGTTTTCTAACGCTTAATGTAAAAACAGTATATTTAAAAATAGTATATCTTTTTAGAATTTCCGATAGACAGTCTCACGCACCGGATATAAAAATATTTTTTTCCGTACAGTGTTGCCACTGCTTGCTTTGAAATCGTTGTTAATCAAAAATTCGTTAAAGTTTTACGAAATATGAAAGAAATATGAAATAGATAGTAAAACAAATTCGAAATCTAAAATTCGGGATTCTGGGTTAGTCATGTTCGAGTGGAGGACTATACTATTCAAAATTCGATGGCTCTAAGTGCCGTTGTTTTTTCACAGTGGAAGACACATACATACATTCAAGCAGATTCTTCATTATTTAATTTCTTTAAATATAATGCAGGGCGATATTTTATGGCAGCAATTTGAACGTTCGACGAAAATGCCTTTTCGAGACTAATAGCCCATTCGGGAGTAATGTCCCTTTCGGGTTATAAAACTGGAAGATTAATATAAATAAATTAGAAATATAATATGGGTAAATATTAAAAATAAGGAAATTATGTTAAAGGCGAAGTAAAAGTAAAAATAATAGGTGTGAAGCCTAAATTTAATTTTGCAGAAATAATATATGTATATGAAAAATAAAAATTAACTTTTTGAAAGGGAGGGGAGATGATTAAACAAATGTTGAAAGATGAGGGGAATAAGCAAAATAAAACATTAAGCGATAAAAATATCATAAAACATTACGCAGAGGTAACTTATAAAAGAATTCCGAATAAATTAATAAAGAATTCGGAAAATTTGAAATTTTATTAAATCTTTGATTTAAAATGTGTAATTTAAAATGTATAAATGTATATGGTAATAATTATATTGAAAAAAATTTTTAATCTTATAATTATTAGTGAAAATAAAAGGACAATAATTACCAAATTTTATACAGAAAAGCAAAAGTATGTATAGCAGAGTACCTTCCATAGTCCGAGTAATTGGGTCGACCAAATATTCCCTGCTCTTTGAAACCGGTTTAATCGAGGAACTACATGCACATAAAAAAAATAAATAAATAAATAAATAAATAAATAAAAGGGGGGAAAATCTGAAATGTTTCAGATTTTAAATTACGTCCAAAGAGGCGTTATTTTAACATTTTGTGTGTTGCATTTATTTATTAAATATAACGTTCTTCACACTTAAACCATAAAACTCAGTTCAAAGGCAATATCGCAAAATAGTTTTAAAATGAGCATATCTTTAGAATTTATGATACAGAATGTCGCGCGCTGGAGATAAAAAATGTTTCTACATGCCCAGATTCGTAGGTGGATTACGTCATTCAAAATTCGATAGCTCTATGTACCGTTGTTTAATCACAATGCGAGAAATATACATACATTTATGCAGATTTTACATTATTTAATTTCTTTAAATATAACACAGGGCGATAATACTTTGTGGCAACAGTTTGAAAAGTGATTCGTCGTTTGTAGTGAATCGACGCAAAATCGCAAAACGAAAACAATAGTCCTTTAGAGACAAAGCCGCTTTGGACTAAAAAAAAAAATGATAACTGTTTTTCAAAAAAAAAAAAAAAAATTTCTTTGCTTTTCAGCAAAGAAAACGACTTACTTTCTTCCAAACTCAAATATCCCTATTAGAAATAATTTTTATAAAATCACGAAATTTTTAAAAGCTGCATAGCATCATATATTTAGAATTTCCAATGCAGTGGCATACACTTTTATACTTTTTGGCTCTTTTCTCAGTTTATTATATCAATATTCATTTTTTAGTAAGAAAAAAATTTCTTTTTCTTCTTATTATTAACGTTTTTATGTGTTAACATTATTCATTAAATATCACGTTCTCCGCACTTTTGCCATATAAAATTCAATTCAACTGCAAAATTATGAAATATTTAATACGCTATATTATTTCTTTAAAAACTATACCTTTAAAAAAGTTATCATAGAAAAAGTATACGCAGTGATTTTAATGAGTTCGACTGGTGTAATTTTATAAAAATATTGAAAATGTCTAATTAGAAATCTCGTGATTTTAATATGTGTTTATTTTAATCAACCACATAAAAAAGTAGAGTGTGTGTGTATTTTAATTACGGCAAAGCACACTAATGCTATCTGCCTAAGGGGAGGGATGCCTTTCGTGGAGGACTTTCTAAGGGAGGCTGGCTCGTATACACGTTGCACATGGGGAAAACCACGAAAGCACCCATGCAGCCGGCCCGTTTGCGGGATTCGAGCCTCGGACCGAACTACCAGTGTTCAGCGACTTTACCGCTCGGCCGCTGGTGGGCCCATAAAAAAAGTAGAAAGAAATATTCTTAAGAACTGTATTTATTGCTTTTAAATCGCTTAGTTCTTTACTCATTAACCTTACAGATTAAATCTGAAAGCATCTTAGGCTTAATTGAAGGCAAACCGCTGACGCTTGGAAGATAAAAATATTTTATTTCCGGTCGCAGCAACACAGAGCTAAGTTTGTTAATTAAAATTGAAAGATAAATAAATATATTACATTTTTCCGAGTGACAACAGTCTCGCGCTGGAGATAAAATAGTGTAATCTCGAACAGTGTTGCCACTGCTTGCTTTCTCATCGTTCAGTTTGTTATTAAAAAAATTTTATTAAAGCTTTACAAAATATAAAGTAAAAAATAACAGAACAAATTCGAAATTCAAAATTCGGACTTCTAGGTATCGTCTAGATGGCTCTAGGTG